AAGAGTGTACTACTACATCAATCCCCCTAATTTCTAGGTTCTAACTTCATCGTCGGAGTATTTTCCCTGAAGAATATCCGAGCGTCTTGACAGGTACCCCAACTACTTCATCAGGTCGACCTAGGACAGAAGAAAAGAGGACTGAACGGTCTAGGAGTGAGGAGCACTGAATCAAATATCAAAGAAAATTCATTTGGATTGTCCTATCACTAAGAAAATGACTCTAGGCGTGGCCAAATGATGGTTTCGGGCTAATTCCTAGACGAGACAATCGGTTATGGACCGCAGTTTTGGAGGCTCTAAACCGGCATGATCGTACATACAGGCCGGTTCAGTGAACCGTTGGTTTCGGGTTGGCCTGGTTTAATAAAATAATAAAAACTAATTAAAAATAAGAAAACCCGTTGATTTTAAAAAAAAAATGATTGAATCGGAACTGGCCTGGATAAAATCACGGGTCAATTCAAAATATGTGGTCAACGGGCCAATTCTGGGCTGGCTCAAGACCGATTCGGCTCGTGGTCATTTCTAAATGACTCTTTACCAGAGTACAGTTTAGGGTCTCATCCATAGTAATATATAAGATTGTTTTTTTCATTTGTTTATGTATTATAAAAATTGTATATAAAGTGTTTTCAAAAAAAAAAAAAAAAAACAAAGTGACGTTTTAATATATACTAGCGTACAAGTGTTACTATATGTTTCAAACATAATCAATCTAGCTATATATTATTATTATTCAACTGCATAACCAATTAATTTGAACAAATTAAAATATAGTTTTCCAAATTCAGAACAATTTATTTGAACAATTGAAAAATAAGATGTATATAATTTCAAGACTTATGATTTGAAAGAGAATTTTCATAAACCTTGAATATGACTTTGTTTGTTTGTTGAATGAAATGTTATAATAGAAGCCTCTCACACTAGTCAACAAAAATTAAACACCAAATGAAATATTACATTCCAATATATATATTTTTCAATGCTTATATTTTTTACAATAATTTGTTCATGTCTTTGATAGCATCATCACATGAAGACACGGTAACTATTGTATTTTTGTTCAACTAATGTCAATATAAAGATTATTCTACAGCTTATTTTTGTTCAACTAATGTCAATATAAAGATTAATTACTCTACAACTTATTTTTGTTTAAATAATGTCAATAGTAGTTAGAAAAGTTGTTTAGTTTAGGCTATGTTTGATAAAATTAGCTGATAAATTATTAGTTGATAGCGGATAAGTTAGCTTATAACTTATCAGTGATTTTCGAGTTTATATTTTACAACTTATAGCTAAAAAACTAGCTTATATGATAAAAGTGTTTGGTAAAATTAGCTGATAAGTTAGATGAAATAAAAAATTCAACGATCTTATTTGATAAGCTTCTAAAGCTACCCAAAGAAGCTTATCAAATAAGCTCGATTTTTTTTTTTTAAAAAAAAAAAACTCGTGCTACCAAACAGAACTTATTTAAATTCGGGAACTTATCAGCTAAATTTACCCAACATAGCCTTAGTGATATGCAAAGTCGATTAGTTAAAATAGAGTTTAAAGTGTAAATCTTATTTGTGTACGTTGATCAAACACTTAACGAGTTTTGAGAGAACATGAGAGACGTTGTCCTAAAAATTTATCATATTCATGAAATTCCATTATTTTTAAAGCAAATTGTATTTACATTCAACTAATATCAACAGAAATTAACACCGAATACATAATATATTTCTTAATTTAGTACATATAATTTGGCAAAGCTGGAACACGAGAAATTAATTCATTGATTTGTATCTCCTAAATCAAGACTTATATATATATTCTTTATTATTACAAAATTCAACAATAAAAAGCCTCAAATTAGGATCCCATATAGACCAAGCCTGATTATGCCTCGAAATTTGTAGGGCCGACTATGACTTCATCTCTACAAAATCTTTGAACATATAATTCTTAGAAACGCTTGTATAATCTGGATTGCTATTTACCGCCCCCTATTACTAGTCACCGCCCCCCTCAATTACCAAAATACCCTTTACTTTATTTTTTAACTCTCTCTCTCTAAACTCTCTATCTCTCTAAAACCGTAACTTCAACGATTCATACGCACGTCAAAAAAATCCCGAAAAAATGTCGAAAAAATCCTAC